CTCAAAATGAGTTGTCCAGGCAGAAGGACCTACCTTTGGTCAGACTGTGCCCACACACAAAGACTTTCCCCATGCCCACCCAGTGTGGTGCAGAAAACAGTGTCCATGGTCTCCAAGGATGGTGGGATGGTCCCGTGGGCAGACCCAGCCTGTTGGAGACACAGCTGTGCTCTCATACATCATCATTAGAGCTGCAAAGTCAAGCAGCAAAAGGAGGAATTGCCAGAATAAAGGCTGTCAGAGCAATTTTAATTCAACCTCCTGGCAGATATGCCTTCTGATGGGGTCTTTAATTACCTCATCACAGCCTACTTTTTCTTCAGCAAGGCTGCTGCTTTATTCAGGGCACGATGGACAGACGGCAATTAATGAAGGGCCAGTCAATATTTTGTTCTGTCCTTTTTTCATTCAGTGTGTGGCCCCAGGCATTATTTGCCACATGCCATCAAATCTCTGCTCTTACTCGTCTTCTCCTGGGCTTTTCTCTCATGAGTATCAGTGCAGCAACTGTGAGATTCCACATAGGAAGGAATTTATTTTCCAATACTTCTGTGAGCAGAGCACCTGGGTTTTACCTACAGGAAAATATGGGGCAGACATGAGCTGCAGAATGCTCCCCCAGCAAAGCCCAGGTGGGATTTTTCAGGATACCCACACTGTCTCTCTTCAAAATCCATCTTCCCTAACCTCTGCCAGAGATGTTTAAACACTCAGGACATCCAAAATTTGAAATTCAGTGTGTCCAAAATATGAGTAACATGGACCTGGTGGCTCTCAGAGGAAAAATGTCAGTGATCTAAAGAGGGAAGATCTCTTCTGCTGATGCTGTGCTGGAGCAGAGCTGTGTTGTGTCCAGGGAGCCAGAGCGAAAGAACAGAGAAATGTTGATTTGGGCAAAGGGATGAGCTTCAGGCAGTGCAAGCTGACTGGCGTTTGTGAATTTTTCACCAAAAATTCTGTTTTTCCACCTTAGTCATTCTCTGTAATAGCTGTACTCTGCTGTCTCTTAATCTTACAAATTTTTCACCTTTTACCAACCTCCTTTCAGAGGAGGACATTCCACACTTTCAACCCAAGAAATCTTAACCTTTCCTCTGGCACAAGTAGAAGAGGTGAGAGCAGGACAGAGACTCAGTAAGAGGAGGAGCTCCCTGAGCCACTGTCAGCATCAAAGGGAGCTCCACTCAAATGGTTCCCAGTGAGTTCACTGGGAGTGGAACTCTCTGGTCACTGAACAGCTTAGAAAAGGAACAGGAGGAGAGGAAGGGCATGAACCTTCATTGCTGTCCAACAGCCCCCTTCTGCACTGCTCTCTCCTGCTCTGCGCCCACTTGACCCACCCTTAGAGAGCTGTCCTAGTGTCCAGGATGGGCTCTCTGAGCCTCTCTCAAGCACAGCTAAGTGGGAGTGCTCTCTTCTCCAGCAGGCAGCACAGAGCTCTCTCTCTTGCCTTGCTAGAAATTCATGAGTCTTCTGGTTTGTCACACCAAAGAGCATGCAGCATTTTCAGCAAGGCTTTTAATTCATTAGCTCACAGAGGAAAATATTCTAATCTTCTTGCCCTCCTCAGCTGAGTCATTGATGTTTTCCTACCTTGCTGCAGACATATCACCTTCAGGAAAGCAATTGCTCAGCATGCTGATAACAGCAGACATCTTTGTGAACTGGGTGGTTTTTTTGGGTCACAGGGTCATGAGGACTGCAGGACACACTGGGGTTACTGCTTGAAACCTGGCCTTCATTTACAGGCTGTGGGAAGCTCTGTGGTCTCTGGGCTCACTCCAAGGGGACATGGGGGGATGCTGAGTCAGAGGGAAGGGGGTGAAAGGTTCTGGGAGGAGCTGGATAAGCTGTGCTGGGCTCCATCACTGGAAGAGGTTGCCCTAAAAGGCTGTGGATTCCCCATGCTTGGAAGTGTTCAAAGCCAAGTTGGATGGGGCTTGGAGCAACCTGGGATAGTGGAAGGTCCATCATCTAGGGGATGGAACTGGATGATCTTGAAAGTCCCTTCCAACCCAGACCAGTGTGTGATTCTGTGATATGTGGCATACAGGTGGCATTTGGGCTCCTGTAGGCAAGGACAAGTGGAATTTAACCCCAGGTCCAGCCAACCAGGTGGATTCACTTATAGGCACATAATCACATTATACACAGAATACAGACACAGTTATTTCTCTTGACCCTTGAAATAAGCTGCATTTTTGGTAGCAGAGGGTGCCCCACCTCCAGTCTCAATCTTGTTCTGTAACCAGAGCTGTTGCATCAGTTGTTGCCTCTTACTCCAGATGTTCCTGATTCTGTTCCCACTCAACTGCATTGCCTATGCTGCAGGACAGCTGTTCTCTGACAGCCTGACTGCAGGGACAAAGCTCTTGTAAAGGTGCCTGAATTCGGGTACCAGCCCCAGTTCTGACCCTCAGGTCCACCTTTCCCTTTTTGTGCCTCAATTTCCTTCTCATAAACACAGTGATTCCAGCATAAACATTTCCTTCCTTACAGTCAGACGTGCTCTGGATGTGTTGCAGGTTGTTGCTATTTCCAGGCCTGTCATTCTAACACATTTTGGCTGCACTAATTCCCTCAAACAGAAATTGTTCTGCCTGTCCTAGTCTGGGACAAAGCAGGCAATTAGTTGTCCCTTACACGTTTATTAACTCTGCAGCTTTCTTTCAATGACTATGTGAAATCCAGTAATGTTTTAATATATTTTCATAAACTGTGGGCACAACATGTCCTGTTTCCACTAATAACTGTGCCATATAATTAGTCCTGATTACACAGATATTTAGTATCATTTTACATATTCCAGTCCTTTCCTAGTGCCACTGCCTAGCCAAGGCATATTTAAAGCCACAGCCATCTCCCTTCTGTTTCCCAGCAGTTTGCAAGAATTCCTTTTGGAGAGGATTGCAGTTAACACAGCAGCTTCAAAGAACAATTTAATTTCACTGGTGTATGTTGTAGGTGTGTGAGTATATATATATATATATATATGTATATATATATGTATGTGTGTGTGTAAAGGCTCTGATCAAATGTCAGGTGACAAAGCCCAGGATACAAATAGAAGGCATTTATCTACTTACAGGGAAAAACCAGTATTTGAAATCCATCAGGAAATTAACAACATGAATCTTTAAAAGTCTATTCCGTAAACATCTGTTGGCTTAGGGCTGACCATTGCCCATATGTAGGATTTTTCTGTGAAGTAGCACCCCCCAAACAAAAGATCCCTCACTGAATTAGGCTCTGGTGGGGGAACTAGAAAAATTTGCTCTGTGCAACCTGATTAGAGATGTATATCTTTCCCTGCTGGCATGGCTGTCTCTATAGAGATGGACATGGATATTTGATGAGATTAAAATGCTTCAGTTACCACTGTCAGTGGTTCTTTAATTTAAAATGAAGAAAGCAAACAAACATTCCTTTTGATGAGGTAACTGAATGATGCTATGGAAAAGCACTTTGCTGTCAGGTGGTAATTAGGTTCAGTAATAGTTGTGGGTTTTTAGCCTTGGAGGCTGTGGCCCCTGGGAGTCTGAGAGAAATGATACATTCAATTTCTGGAGGAGAGGAAGATGCTGGATGCTTTTCTCTGCTAACCCTGCAGGTCTCAGCAGATAAGAGCATTCAGAACTGCAGTGCTGACAATCCTCCTTGAGCCAGCCTAAACTGTGGTGTCAAGATCACAAACAGAAAAGGGAGATGGGCTCAAAGCAGGCCTAACACAGGCAGCCTGGCTCTGACCACATATATAAGGAACTGCCAGAATGGCTGCAATGAGAGGATTTTTAAAGGCTGCAGAAGGAACTCCAGCAATTGCTCTCTGGTCTGGGCTGATATTTGTAACATCCATCTTATACATCACTAGAAAATCTTCAGTAGCAAAGTGTTCCTTTGCAAACAAGGAACATGCCCACAGCTACTCTTTTAAGGAGGAAAAAAGTGGGTAGAAGGAAGGAGTGAATCTCAAGGCTCAGCTGCCTCCCTTGCCAATTTGGAATTGCCTTTTCCACTGCAAAATGTAAACTATATTTGCTTGTGCTGTTAAGAGTTGAAACCCAAATGAAACATTCCAATTGGTCCAAATGCATTTAATTGAAATGTTTCAGTTTGGAGGCATTATTGCTGTTTTCTCAGAACAGAGGCAAATACTGAACATGGTGTTTCCCATGAAACAGGTGCTCTGGTTCCTGCTCTGCTCCCCTCTGAATGTTGTTACACAGCTTTTCCAGCTCAAGGAATGCAGGTTCTCCATAGACAGTTCAGTGGTATCTCCCCTGCTCCTCACACAAGTTAAGGGGCAGTGAAAGGATGCAGTTGGCCAACACCAGAGAAGGACCAGCAGTGCTGCAGGGAGCCAAGCTTGGGCATTTCATTCCTTTGTGTCTTGCTGACCTGTGCCTCACTGCAGGTCCCCCTTCCTTTTGGACTAACACCCACTGAGCTTGTGAAACTGGAGTAAGGGCTCAGAGCAACAGGGGATCCCCAGATAAAGTGTCCAGCTGGGCTGGCAGAAGGAACAAGAAGGAACAAAAAGGAACAAGAAGGAACCTGCCTCTGGCTGCCAGTACTGCAGCAGCTCCAAGAGGAGGTGGAGAACTCTGCCTCAGCACAGCCTTGCCAGTAACTTCCTGAAGTGCTGAAAAAGTTTTCACTTCCAGAATTAAAACTTTGCGAAATAAAAGTGGGTCTGATTTGCTCTCAGGAGATAAATGAAGGCTAAGTCCATTAAAGATACTGGTGTGAGATTGGTGTACAGCAGACAGAATTCAGGAAAGATATCGATATCTCCAAAATCCTCTGAATATTTTTTCAGACATAAACCAGGTATCTTTCCTGATCATAAATGCTTTATTTCCAAATGGAATTTCAATAAAATAAGCACAGTTAGACTAGCACTTATTATAAAGTTGTAATGCAGTAGCACTGAAGTTTAGTCATGAAAGGTATTAAAAAGGCAGCCCAGCTAAAGCAAGAGAAATTGCTTTCTGACCTACCGAGGTTTAGGAGTGGGTGCTAGTGGTCCCTCCACCAAGGAGTTCAGCCTGTAATAATCCAAGAACGTCCTGGCCACATTTCTTCCAAGCTTCATATCTGTGAGTTTTTAATTAAGGAACATTTTAAAAATCATTAATAATAATAATAATAATAATAGTACAGAGCAGAGTCTAAAGGTAAGTTATTGCTGTTTAATACAAGAACAGGTTTTACATCAACCATCCCACAGAACTCAGGCTTCAGGCAAAAATGACTTACACAGGCAAATAAGGTAGGGGTCATCTTGTTTGCTTCTTGTTTTCACAGGCAGATGCTGCATAAAAACACAGACAGGAGGAAACAATCTCCCTTTTCCCCCACGCCTGGCTGCAGATCCCTGTGGTTCTCATGAAATAATACACTAGACAAAAGGGGCCCTCCAATTTCCACATTCAGAGAAAATAATTGCCTTAAAATGCTTGGATGCAGGCAGTATTTCTGTATCCAGGATACAAGGTCAGCCCTACCATGGTGTGAACCTGCCATGGACCAGTGTGCTGAAGGTTGGCATTAATGCTGTAGCCCTCCACACTTTAGCTCTGACCCCCAGAATGTCGTGGGAGAATTCACTGTTCTTTCCCTGTGTTGTATTCAGGACCTGAAATTGTGATTTTAGCACCAACCTGGAAGGACAGTAGGTTACCTTAACGAGTTCAGCAGTAACTCTGGTGTGTCTTCTCACTAGCCACGATTTCTCCTTCAGCTGACCCCTAAACCCAGCATTAGGCAGGTGCTGCACATCAAAGCTGCCAGGAGACCTCAGGGGCAGAGGAACCAGACCTCCCCAACGACTCAGCTGCTTTCAAAGAAGTTGAATAACCTGTGGGTTGCATTGGAAAACAATATCCCAGACAACATGTCCATGGGGTGAATCTGCTGTTCCTGTGAAAAGTCAGCCTTAAGTCTGCCTGTTACAGAGCAGCATCTCCTGATCATCTGCAGGGTGATGTCCAGCTGGGAGATATCCATTATCCACAGCTGTGTTGTGGGGCTGAAGGCTCCTTTATTTGCCTGTTTTGAACTGATGCCTGCCCAGGCTGCAGTAACCACATGGTGCTCCAGGACACTGCCCTAGAGGGTTGTGGTGAGGAGCATTTCAGCAGGGCAGCTGAGGTGGGCACAGAACCTGGTGAGCCTGAAGAGACCTTTGCATCCAACACCCAGCAGTCCAGGAAGATAAACAAACCACTGCTGGGTTGTTTTGTGCATATATGCATGTTTGCTTTATCAATAGTTATCTGCTGATGTTTCCATTAGAGGAAAATTCCAGAAGTGCAGCATCCCAGGGGCTTCCAGCAGTGCTGTTGAAGACACTAGCTTCTAAATGAAGCTTTTATTACCCGCCCACTTACATTAGACACATCAAAACAAGTGAGCATGAGACATCAGGTTCACGCATCACTGTGAGACCTCCTTATCCTATATTTATTTATTTATAAGGAAGGTCAAGCTGACGTTGACAGTCTTTACTTCTGCAAAAATCCAGCCACCAGCTCTGCTAGTGCTGCAGTCAGGTCTGGTGGCTGAGGATGACTCCTGACATTGCTTTTCTCTCCAACGATCTTGTCCTGCTTTTCCATCTCCCACCGCTGTGCCTGGGGATGGTTCCATGATCTGTCCCTCCTGAGATGCTCGTTGTGATCCTAATACCATGTGTGCTGCCAGTACCTCTGTTCTCCTGGCCAGCAGCAGGGCAGAGCTGGAGCAGCTGGTGCTGTCTGCATGGACTGGGAGAGGCAGCTGTGAGGATCAGCTCCAGCTGTGTGGATCAGTACCAGCTGTGAGGATCATCACCAGCTGTGAGGATCAGCACCAGCTGTGAGGATCAGCACCAGCTGTGTGGATCAGCACCAGCTGTTCCCCAGCTGTGGCAGTGCCCAGGTTCCCCTTGCAGCCGACCAGCCCTGCATGCAGGGAGGCTCAGAGAATTGGAGACAGCCTGCAGTTTTGCAATTCGAGGGAGGGCAGTGTTGCTATGAAAGAGTTTTGTGATTGTTTCTAGAATTTGGAGATGGCTGAGGGTAGCTTGCTTGCTGTGGATGTGGACTCAAAGCAGTGGTGAAGGTTAAGAGTTCAGAGTAGTCTGAGGAAGCGAGGAAGAAGGGGAGAGGGCTGTCAGACACTTAAGGGATTGAGAAGACTAACATGGCTTGATCTTGTAGTTTCTTTCATTTACTCGTCACTTTAAAGACATAAAGTGGTAATTGGACTCGGTAAAGTCTCTAGGACATTTTGTCAGTGGCAATCTCAGAAAGCTCCTCTGCCAGAAGTGGCCCTGCTGCCCTTTTCTTTGTCTCTCTGCATTGCTTTTGTTTGCACGGTAGGAAGCACCTGACCTGCTGTCCTGGGGGAGGAAGCCCTGGGATGGCAGAGGGTGCAGCTGAGGAAGTGGCTTCACCAGCTCCTGCCTTACAACCCTGCCTTAACCCTGACCTGCATGAATCTGGTTCCACTGCTGAGCTCACGTCTTAGGAACAGCTTTCTGAAGCTAAGGACAACTAACCATTGGAATAACCTGCCTTAGCACGTTGGGAAATCTCCAGACCAGAGGACTTCAAGAACAGGTTAAACCCACAGCAGACATGAATGGTTTAGGTATAACTAGTGCTGCATGAAGTTTGGGTAAGGAAACATAAAAGGGCCTCTCAGGCCACTTCACCTCATTTTCTTACAGTTCTGAACATATTTTGCAATTCACATAGAGACCTGTTTGCTGAGATTGCCAAGAAAGGTAAGGGCATTTTGCAGAGCATGGACACACAGATAGATGGAGAGCATGAAGAAACTGGAAATGCAGTGCCACATGCATCCACCAAAAAGTCACAAAATGGGAATAACTTGCAGTCAGCAATGATGAAAAGAGACCAGCATGGGATAAAAAATGTGCATGTTCTAGTACTAGTCTCTCCAGCCATCCTGCCCCCTCTGCTCTGCCTGTCACTTCTGCAAGGGATGAGCGGTTTCTGTCATGGAAATCAGGCACCTGATACATAAAACCAGGGGCAGCAGCATTGGCCTCTCCCTGTGACTGTCCATCCTGGGCAGGAGCTGACGTGACTCCCTCAGCACGCGCTGGCAGCACGTGTGTGCAGAACCAATAGAGGAAAACAAATTAAAGCAATAACATTTGCATTTATCTCTGGTGCACGGAAGGCTCAAACTCCACTTTGACTTACAGTGTATCCTGAGCACGTAAATAACAGCTACTGCAACCCAAACCCACTTCTGCTGGGTGGTTTTTATCCAGCTTCCTTTCTGCAATCACACGTGCTGTGTGCCCACAGGAACTCCCTTCCTAGCCTGAACTGCACTTGACAGAAGGCCATTTCCCAGCTATTCCCAACATGGGAGCTCAGCTCATACAAGACAGTCAAAATGTATTTGGGAGAGTCATGATGGAAACAGCTGGGTGTATCTTCACCTTCACTAGCATCTACAACTCCTTCTCATCTCTCTTCCTCCTCCATAGACTCATTTCTCCATGCTCCATATTTCTACCTGGAAGTGGAAACCAGTGTCCCTCCTGCAATTGCCCTCTCACAGCATTCACTCTGTGAACGGCATCAGCAGATTTGGGGAGCTTTCAGGACAGTCTGTCTATGCACAACTCTGCCAAATTTCACAGATGTTAAGAGGTTCAAGAATCGTGCTGGGCTCTCTGCAAAATCCTGCACATTTATGATCCCACCATGCCCCACAGCCCAAAACTTCCAGCCCTGGTAAGAAAGGAGGACAGAGAGGGGACTCTCACAAGCCATTACTAGTTTTCAGCTGACACGATTCATTGAGCCTATTGTGAACAGTCTGCTTAAGCTCCAGCCTCTGGAAGCGCAGACAGAGCCTTGTTCTGTCTGTGCATGGAGGCAATAAAAATCTCAATTTGGAAACCAGTTAGCAGTACAAGTCATTAGGGGAGGTACTAAATGTTGCTGCTTTAATAGCTCACTGATCCTTTAATAATGTCACTGCTGCAGAGCATGGTGGCACCATTCGCTCGCTTTTGTTTTGCTTTTTGAAATTCAGGGTCATTCCACTTTCAAGTGAGTGGATTATCTCTCTTTCCTCCTTCTGCCAGACACTGCAAACTGCTTTAAATAATTAGAAAAAAGGATGGCTCCTTCAAATTCACCATCTCATTTTCTTAAGGTCCAGTGTCATTGCTTTGGAACAGGAAGAGAAACCGTGATGGTGGTAAGGATTTGACAAGGGCAAAACAGTTAGCAGCCCCCACTCATCTTTGATAAGTCCTGTGGGGTCTCTGCCAAGCAGATTGGATCTCTGGTTTTATGTCTCATCTAGAGGACGGCACCTCCATCAATTTGAAACACTGCACTGGGTTATTAGCTTATGGAATTCATCCAAGTTTAGTCCTAAGCAGGATTTGAAATGTGACCATTCAGTCCAGAGGCACCACTGACCAGACCCACGCAAGTCTTTTGTTTCAGACAAACAGCTTTAACTTATCCTAAAGACAGACAGAGAGGAAAAAAAAATGGAAAGGGAGAAAGAGGGTAAGGAAAATGAGAACAAAGAGAAAGATGAATCTTTTTAATAGCTCAAATTAAAAAACAGAAGAAGCTCTTTGTTTGACACAACTGAATTTTACAGCAAATCTCAGTCCACCACAACAACGATCCTTTTATTTATGAAAAGAGGGTTATTTTGTTTGGGAGAGTCCCAGATGACTGTGGTCAGCGAGCATACTGTCAGCTTCACACAATCTCAAGAGAAATATGGATGAGGTTTTCTCGTCTGTTTATAACAGCTTCCATCAATGGATCAAACCCCTTTCTGACTCGAACAAGAGCTCTAATGGAAAATGGCATTACAGGGCTTTAAACCACCATGTTATATCATGCCAAGACTGATCAGAGCTAGTCCTCTATTTTAGCAGAGCTGTTTTCACCAGTTACTTACTTATTTTGTTTCACAGTGCTGACACTGCTCTCTAATAAACAGATGCTGCCCAGTCTCATCTCATGGGGAGCCCACTCCAAGCAAAGTGTCACTGGGGCAAAATAGAGACTTGGAGGTGGAGGAGGGCAGGGAGAGGGGCT